TTTCATTGGCTTTGTAGTATGTTTTAATTGTAGGTTTTACTGTCTGCCGCCCAGAGTCACTGCGTGTGGGCTGGGCAGCCATATAAACTTGACAGATAAATGAATAAATAAGCGTGGAATGCTTTGAACTCTTTTCAGTGCAGGTTTTGGAGTCAGACGTGTTTGCTGTCTCGGGGCTGGTAACAGATCAAGCCCAGCTCTGCTTTGCCGGTTCAGGCCCATAGAGCTGCTGCCCGGGAGGAGAGGTGTGGGTGCCCGGGGGAAGTAGCGGAGCAACTCCAGGCCATCCTGAGTTATCTGGGCACGATGTCTGAACTGAGTCAAAGGCTTGATGCCCTGGGGGCAGGGGGTGGCACGGGTGGCGGGGGTGTCCTGCAGCGGGTGAAGACCATTCCAGGCAAAAGCCTTTGAAGTCCAGTGGTAACTGCACCTGTCCTTTTTCTCAGCCAGTAAAAAAGAAGAAAATAAAGCGTGAGATTAAGATCCTGGAAAATCTCCGAGGAGGGCCTAATATCATCAACCTTCTAGACATAGTTAAGGACCCTGTGGTAAGGAGTGACGGTTTTTCTCCCCCTAATTGCAGACAGGGCCCCTGCAAGGGTGAGCCACTTGAAGCTGGTTCACAGCAGATGTGAATGGAAGACCCAGTTCTGCCAGGACAGTGCTAGTTCTGGGTCCTGGCAGGGGGATGCCTGTGTCCAGAGCACCTCCAGCACATTGGAATGGGTAGCTTTCTAGTGCCCGATTGGCTGGTAAGGAGGAAGGTGTGGCGTGGTGTCTTCCCTCCCTAAACCTGGGGCTCGCTTGATGTGGTGCTGGCTGCTGTGCTTGTCTCTCCCCCGCAATAATGACAGTTATTGAGCAGGAAGGGCTAAGGGAAAGGGACACCTTTCATCTGCAGACCCTTTCCCTGGCTGCAGGTTCTGCACGTGGCAGTTGGACTGTCGCTCTCTCTCCCTTTTCTCCCTATGAAAATCAGGCCCCGAATGTGGTTCTGATCACTGGTCTGTGGCCTCTTCAGGAGGTGTTCCTGCCCATCTCCCCTTTGCTGCTGCGTCCCATAGAAGAAACACGGTGACCAACATTAGGAAAAGTGAAAGAAAGAATGGAGCACTGCTTTGCATGTGATGGTTGACCCCCTGTTCTCTTTTTGTTTCCACTCTCCTCCCTGCCCCTGACCGTGTGGTGCTGCAGTCTCGGACACCCGCCCTGGTGTTTGAACATGTCAACAACACAGACTTTAAGGTGAGAGGATGCTGGGTGAGTGTGTAAGTTGAGGAGGCTTCGCATGGGTTTGGCGGATGGCTGCAGAAGCCACGCCCGCCTTGGAGTCTGTCCCACTGCTTAATTGTTTCCTGAACTGGGAGGAAGGGCTGCAGGTGTCCTAGAACTGGTAGGCAAAGAGGAAGAGGTGGCCCCGATGTCCCTCGCAAGCAGGGCAGTCGAACTGGCAGTGGACTTTTCCATATGAAGTCTCAGGGCTCCGCTGCAGTGGAGGGAGGGCAGGGCACTCCTTATTCTGGAGAGGGGAAGGAAGGACAGGCCCCTCCCTGTTCTGGGCACGAGGCCAGCGCAGAAGTGGTGCCAGGAGCAGAATGGCACCTTCTTTCCAGATCCCGAGTTCCGGTGGAGGGAGCGCCCCAAGAAGGCAGAGGAGGCCTGCTGGTGACTTCCCCTTGACGGTTTCTGTTGCACGCTGCAACGAGAGCAGGACCGGTGTGGGGAAGTCATCCAGGTTAGAGCCTTGCAGGTGCCAATACTTGCTCTCAGCCCTCGAACTTTCTTTGAACGGTCCTAAATCTGCACGGATGGTTGGGGAGATATTCTGACAGAATACTCAGTGGCTCTTTGCATAGTTCAGGTGGAGCCTTGCTATTGAAAAGGAGCTGGTCTGAGCCCAGAGGATGCTTTGCTAACGGCTCTCCCACTGTTCTTCTTCTTCCCTGCAGCAACTGTATCAGACACTTTCAGATTTTGATATTCGATTCTACATGTATGAAATCTTGAAGGTAAGAGCTAGTGGGTCCCTCAGCGACAAGTCTCCTCCTTGGCTAGATGGGAGACTGAGGGTTGGGGAGGCAGCTTACCTACCTTTCCCCTTTGGGAGGGGCCCAAATCCTTGGTCTCTACGCCAGGCGTACAAGACTGACTGGGGAAGAGCCAGGAGGGGTGGATTTGCCACGGTATTTTCCGCGCCTGGTCGTGCAGCCGCGAAGAGGCCTAGACCTCGGTGCAGGAGAACCAAAGACTCTTGTGGTCCAGGTTCCATCCTTGGCCATGCCAGCTAGGTAGCAAGGGACCTGGAGGACGCTTTGAAGAGCCGCTGTGGTGAGATGATATGGTAGCTGGCAGATAGTATAAGCCAGCCTGGTATGCTTGCCACAGCTGACCAGTGTTTGCGCCACGTGCTTAACTGGGACAAAGGGGCACGTCAGGGCATGTGTGAAAGCTAAACCCGGTCAGCCTGGCGGTTAAGTAAATTAATTTTAGCCGTAATGGCTCAGGGTTCTTTTGGGCTAACTTCCCCTGGTCAGCCGTGTGATTTGGCAACGATGGAGCTACTCTAGAAGCTGGATTTTCCTTCTCTCCTCTCTCTCACACACACACAAATGCACGCACGCAT